AATTTGTTAAAACATGTTCTTTTCATTCAATTGCATTATTTTTTTTTTATCTGAGGTTATTGAAATTATTTTTAAGAATATATATAATGAAACAGACACTTTATTTGTGACGTGAAATTTCAGGTATTATTATAATTTGTATTTTGAGTTTTAGCAGAAATTAATAATAATGGGGACAAAGGAATTCTGCATTGTTCAAACAAAGATTTTTTAAATTTTAAATCTAGTCACCTACACACTTATTGTTGATTATAAATAAGGATATACCTTTTTTATATAAATATTGATAGATAATGTTTAATTCCATGAATTACTTTTAACTAAAATTTAAAATAGTTATAGATCCAAAGACGAAATATACCTGGTTCAACAAAGAAAGGACCCCATTGAAAGTTTTAAGAAGAGGATTGTGAACAAAAACTTGACAGATGAAACCGAATTAAAGGTACAGTTTAAATATGCTCTTCTCATTATATCCCTTTTTATTAGATATTTGAAAAAAGATATATATGGCCTATTTATGTACATTTGTAGCGTGTAACCGTATAAAATGTTTTTCTTTTTTTTTGGTCGTATAGGTAATACATCGAGCAATCAAAGACGAAGTTCAGTTAACAGTAAAGAAGATCAAGAGCAAAAATGAACTCCCACTGACCCACCTTCACGAGGATGTTTACAAGACTCTAAATTATCAATTATAAAATATGAGCCCGATTTTTTTCACCTTAAAATTCAACATTTTTAAAATATGCCTTTAAGTAGTCGCTCAAGAAAAAAAGATTTATTTTATACAATGTACTGTGGAATCATCAATGTTCATTGGGGACCGATGTTCGTTGATTTCGTTGGTTACCCTTATCCATGAATTTACATCCTTACGAACATTTATTTTGTTAACAATTTATTTTTTGAATCTTCTGTATATATGAGTTACCCACGATATTATGTCCCCACAAATCAACAAAACTTTGCTTGCTAACTAGCATTGACCCATACGAATTGTAATGATTCACCAGTATTTCTCTCTTTGTAATTACAATTACCATGTATATGGTATAAAAATCATGCGACTTTATCAATTTTATATGCTTGACAGCATCGATCAGCAACCCCTCCTTCCTTTAAAAAAAACTTTTCTTTACATAAGATGACTGCTTCACTATACATAACTAGTGTTCCAAAAACGCATATATCGTCAGTCTTTACATTCTTTTTATAAATTTTAATCTAAGAGTGGCCAGCTTTTTATTTGCTAATAGCAATCATGCAAAAAAAAAATAATAAAAAAAATGCAAATATAGTAATGCTGTGATAAAATCTGACATTTATTATGGAATACAATTTCCCAACCCTTCAAAGCTAAATTGGATATTAATATAATTTAAATTATTAAAAACAATTATTCATCAATTATTTACTTTAATAAGCTTATGATCGTGTATATTTGCTAATTATTAGTCCATTATTTTGAAGTAATCTTAATTCAAAAGCAGGAATTTTTAAAACTCATTGAGGACATTTTTTTTTATCATATACATCGCACATGTACCAGAAGCGTATTTCAAAAATTATTCAGAAGTAATAAATGCAGGGTAGTGAATTTGTAAATAGAAATGATAATAAAGAGATCAACATATAAACACATATCTTCAAAATATTTATTGATGTTGTTCTTCATGAAAGATATTTTGCAAAGAATCAGTATAAAATGAAACGTCTTGGGCCAAATCGCACATTAATCGCAGCGTCATGACAATTATTCCCATTTTCACTAATTCGTCCGTACAAATATCTAACCTTCGTCCGAACAAATAACTAATTTGTAAGAACAATTTTCAAATTCGTCCGAACAAATAACTAATTTGTCCGAACAAATAACTAATTCGTCCGAACGAATTTCTAATTTGTCCGTACAAATATCTAATTCGTCCGAACAAATAACTAATTTGTCCGAACGAATTTCTAATTGTCCGAACAAATAACAAATGCGTCCGAACGAATTTCTAATTCGTCCGAACAAATATCTAATTCGTCCAAACAAATATCTAATTCGTCCGAACGAATTTCTAATTTGTCCGAACAAATATCTAATTCGTCCTAACAAATAACTTATTTGTCCGAACGAATTTCTAATTTGTCCGAACAAATAAAAATATTCTTTTACCTGGCCCTCCAGCGGCGCCGTACAATCTGAATGACACTTTGTCGTATAATTTTAAAAATAAGCATGATAAATGTTGCTCAAAATGATTTTAAATACAAATCATTGTTGTTATGTTCAATGTGTTGAATCAAAACCTACTCACATAAACACACACGGCGCAAATTGTATATGATATTTAATTAATTCATAACTCTGGTTATATTAATTTAGTATATTTAAAAAGGGACAATTGCCTTTCTCCGATTTTGAATTTGATGCAAAGTTAAGAAACAAAAAAAAAAATGCCCTTTACCCAAACCAGCTTCTAAAACAGAATTGATAAATGTAATCTTATTGATACCATCACTTAGTAATGTTGTTTTTCTGTAAATTGTGAAAATTTCATCAATTGTTATATACTGTAAGTAATTTTTACATGTAAATACTGTAAGTATGAGAAGAATCCCTCCTTAAACGTAGAATTACAAAATTTAAGTTAAAAAGCCAACTGTAAAATTGAAATGACAAGCATTAAGTAGCCTAAGGGGCACAGTGGTTATACTACATTCGCTCTAGATTAGCGGAGCTAGAGGTTAATCCTAACGTCACCTGTTCAAATCGCACTGAAGGACCTTAATATACGTCCTTTCGTTGAGACTTCATTATCCGGCGTCTCGTATCGCAGTAGGTGCTGACAGGTAAACGATTCCTCACTGTTCACCGGACTGAATCCCTAGTGTAAGTCTACAGTTCTAAGAAGGGACGTTAAACAAAAAAAACTAAGATAAAAATTAAAAAAAAAAGGTTTCCGTACAAAAGAATTATAAAAACTTACTTACAGTTAAAAGTGTAACATACTTACATGTATATGTTGGAAAATGGTTATCGATAAATATTGTACTTATATTTTCTACATATCAAGAGCAACATTAAAAACACAACAAAAAAAAAAAAACTTGAAACGAGGGGCTTGGAGGACATAATATGGGCATTGGGCATTGGGACGTAGGTATCCCCCCCCCCACCCCACTTTTCACATAAACGTTGCAGCATAGTTCAAAAAGTGAATGGTAGTGTTTGGAAAAAGAATTTGGTACTAAAAAAATATTGAGTCCCCCACGAAATAGGATTTTCGTGATTGGACAATGGACACATTTTTTTGTCATTTTTTTGGTAGGTCTGAAAGTTTTTTCTCTTACTTTTTCTCACACACCCCACTTGCAAAATGCTTCCGACGCCAATGTAAATCGTATGATGCATAGTCCATGGCTGTTAATGAGTATTAAAATACAAAATAATATATCAATTCAGTCTAACGCAAAATGTTTAAACTTAGTCATAATGCACCTAGTTTTCTGTTAGAAAGGAAAAGCCGAGCTAGCTAAATGACCTCAAAATCGAAAAGTAGGTCATAAAATACTTAAGAGGCCCTTAATAAAGAAAGGACATTCGATTTTAACACTCTAAAGGACTCTTCAATATATATTGTAAATATATCATTCACTTGTGACCTTAAAGAACTAAATGTAAGATGCTAGTCTATACCGTAGCAATGAGCTTGAAATTGTAATTTAATGAAATAAGATTACTGCAGTATTTGTAAACAATAACTAGGGTACTTTAAACCAACTTTTATTCGCGTGCTAGAAATTATCGCGAAGTTAGCGAGAGCCCCATAATCGCAAATATTTCTCACCGGGAACCAGTCCTTAAAGTCTCTGTTTCTATTTTAAAAAGATTTAAAAAAGGTTTGATCGCAGATATTAATCGTCGCGAACTAGTTTTACTCCAGTAAATCGCGAAATAAAATCGTCGCAAAGTTGGTTTACAGTATGTCTGAGTGATATGAAGATTACAAGCCTTCATCTTTAATCTAAATTTCACCGCATTAATCCTCTAATATATCGATAAGCCTTTGCTAAGAATATATGAAAATCTCTCCCTGCAACGACATGCATGGCAGAACTATGCAAATAGTAGAGAAAATTCATTGTTTAAGAAAAGGTATAGAATAAATGAATATTAAGACGTTACATTGCCGTTTAGGGTGCTCCGTGGGTACTAAACATGTTGATTTTAAAATGAAGTTAATTGATTTCTGTTAAATCGACTGAAATGAAACTTTACACATCAACCAACAAAATACTTTTACATATTTTAAATTTCTAGTGAGTAATGTAACGAAGATTGACATCATCCACGAACTTTTCGAACAACCCTCGTATAATAAAAACAATATTTTTAATCTGCCATGCGTACCATGAATTGTATGAGCACTGGCGAACCTACCTGAAGGATGCGAAATCTTTATGAGCATATCAAGCACTTTTGTTAGTCTACCTTGTTGAACTGGATACATCCATTTAAATATGAGTAGTTCTGGTGACTGCACTGACGCACTTTCAAGGGAAGTAGTTCAGCCCTGCAAAGTCTTAGGAAGGTCTGTTCGTCTCGAAGAGCTATTCAGAAGGGTCTGTGACCTACTTGAGATATATAAATCGCGGACCACGTCTTATAGACCATCGGGTAATGGCCAAGTGGAGCGGTATAACCGCACCCTAATGGATGCAGTCAGATGTTATGTTGACAATGACCCAAAGGCCTGGGACGCTCACTTGGGCCTGTTAGCCGGGGCAATGCGCTCGGCAGTTAACCGTCAAACTGGGTATACCCCTAATCATCTCATGCTTGGACGAAAAGTGAACAGTCCAGCCAATCTCATGTTTAAACCTCCCCCAGGGGAGACTTTACAAAATGGGGGGAGGGGGTTGTTGACAAATATGTGGCTGGGCTCGAAAGGTCTCTCAGATTATCTCATGAAGTGGCACGAGAAAAATTGCGGACAGCCCAAAAGACCATGAAAAGCGATTATGACCTTCACCTCCGTGAGAGGAAATACAAGGTTGGGGACCAGGGGTCTGTTTCACAAACGTTTCCTAAGATATGTCGTAAGACATAACTTAAGATATGCCTAAGTTATAACTTAGGAAGTTCCTAAGATTTGCCACAGCTGTTTCACGAAACGATCTTATCTTAAAATTTTCCTAAGTCAATTCTTAAGTTGTGCCTTTATAAGGACTAATGAAATATGTTTTCCGCTCTATCTACAACTCTCAGTATGTCAGTATGGGTTATATTTTCAGCTTCAAAATGGGAGGGGTAGGAGGATTGGGGATTATAAACAGAAGTATGATTTAACTTTGCGAAGTTTGCTGCTAAAATTTAAGCATTCACAGACACACCTTTTCAAGTCCTCTTCGTTTTCTGGTACACTTTATTTGTATTTTTTAAAACATTGTTCTACGTGTTATACGTTTACTTTATTTTGCTCTTTATAAGGTATCTACTTGTAAATGAAATTCAGAATGATTGCTTCGTAGCGAACAAATGCACATGTGAGGGCATTTAAAAAATATTTTTGCCAATGACTACTCCACGTCAGAAAAGCTTTTTCGTATATATAAATTAGAATGCCATGCCAGAAAAAAAAAATCCCAAATTCATGACTATACAGATATGAAAATACTAAAAGAAAAGGTTAATAAAGGAAATCTATTGAAATCTCATGCATAGCTAGCCTATACATTGTATTAAGCAGAGAGAAAGAGTGGTTGTAATCTCATGGCCGTAAAAGCTGAAGGAGCACTGGAGGGGGGAGTAATAATAATTTTACCGATGCTAGAATACTACAGACAAACCAAACAAAACTGAGTTATGCTTGTGTCCCCTCAATAATAACGTCCTAGGGCCCGGAGATTAGATGCAACCATTCTATATAAATATCCGGAGCTTGGTTGGGGGTTCATCAGGAATCATGTACTTATAAAAAGTGAATAAGTGTTTCCATTTATCTAAAATATCATTTTTCAAAAAAATTCTTATGTAATATCAATTAAAATATTAGTAATATATTAAAAAAATATACATGTACATGTAGATAAAAACGTTATGTATACATACATGTTTAATAATGGATCATGTCATTTGCTTTTTTTCCCAAAGGCGTGCTCTTCAGCATGAGTACATCTATTTCGCCAGCTCTACTTTTGTGCACGGACATTTTTATATACCTTGGACTAATTTTGACACAATTTGCCAATTATTGAAAGCCTAGTACTGTGTAATTCCATGCAAAGTAAAGCAGTTTTAACCTGGAGAGAACACAATCGTTCATATACTAGTAGTTCATCGGATTTTCTCTCCCCAAACACATTCTCTCCCCTAATAAGAAATCTTGGATATGCAGTCGCAATTTTTAGTTTCTTCCTAAGTCAACAATTTACCTGTCCTAAAGTTACGACATAACTTAGGAATATCCTAAGATAAGAAGAGGTTAGTGAAACGGATAAGTAATGAACTTAGGAAAAAGTTCTTTCCTAAGATAGAACTTAGTCTTAAGTAAGCTTTGTGAAACGGGTCCCAGGTGTACTGGAGGCGGAATGCTGGAAAGAAGGTCGAGTCTGTTTGGCTGGGTCCTGGAGTGGTATTAGAAGTCAAATCGGACACAATCTACTCAATCCGCACTCGTCGGGATGTTATTGTCATGCACCATGACAAACTCAAGGCTTGTAATGCTCGCCAGATCCCGAAATGGATTAAAGATTACAAGGCACGTGAGGAGCAGGAGTCGATAACCGATGAAACTCAACCTTTGACCCAGAACCCCAAACCCTCGGAAAAACCGAAGCAAAGTAAGGCGGGTACAGGTGGGGATGCGCCTTATTTGAGGACCCGAAGTAGATCTGGAACAAGTCAGGGGCAACCAAGCTCGTCGATTAGACCCCAGGCTTCGGCTGACCAGGGGCAAAAACGGTATCGGGCAAAAGCCAAGCGGTACCAGTACTGCGTCTGTAAGACCAAAAACCCTCGCGGTTTCATGGTACAGTGTGATACTTGCAAAGACTGGTTTCACCCAGGCTGCGTGGGAGAGACAGAAGCAACAATACAACAAATGGCAAGTTATCACTGCCCTGATTGCAAGTTGGTAGGGGTGTAGGGCTAAGCTGAGTGGGTCTCTGGGCGGGGGGTGATTTTACAGGGGGATTAGGTAGCACCATAAGCACCCCGCTGTAGAAGCGGGGTTATCATGTCATTTGATTTGTTTTTTTTTATATGTTTCAGGAGTGAAAAAGAAAGATTATGGAGGATGAGCTGCAGCTGTTTGCAGAGAGTTGGTCGGAGGGGACCGAGGAGTCTGGGGACCAGCCTGGGGCTGACAAGGCAGATGAGCAGCCTGTTGCGTCATTACCACTTCCCTGCCAACCTCCCAGGCGGCGGGGCATCAGGCACTGTTTTGTGAAAGATTGTCCCACCACCTTCACTGGTGCCGGGCCGGTGGCCCGGCATGTTCTTGATGTTCATTGCCCGGTGGGGATAGAAGAACCCGTCAGGATGGTTCAGTTCTTAAGGAACATTGCCCGCTCGCTCCATCTGCCCCAGGAGGGCAGGGATGATGAGCGGGCATTAGATGAGCTTAGAGCCGTAGTCCAAAGAGGCTTTAAACCGGTGTCATAGAGTTTTGGGCCAGATGGCATGACCTGGCCAATGAACTGGCAGAGTATTTGGGGGTGGTCCCCCTGACCCTACTGGATTTGGAGAGGGTGCAGCAGGGCCTCATTGTACATGTGGGGATGTTGGCTCATCCTCGTGTAATTGCGGATCTGCTGAATAGGGTTACTCCAGAGGTGCGGCAGCAGTTTCGGCGACCGTGGCATGATAGGCCCTATCGCCGAGCTCCTGCTGCACAGTCTGTGCAGAGGGTGAGGTGTGATCATCCATTTTTTAGAGGGGCACAGCAGGTCTACCCGATCCCAAGGGAGGACTGGGAGTGCGAGTGTGAGGTCCGCCCAGCTCCAGGGACTGGGTACCAGACCCAGCAAGAACCAGTGACCGTGAAGGTCATTGACGCTCACTGGCACCCAACACGGATGTCAGTGAGGTTGGCATTGACGGCCCTCACAGAAGAGATTGCACACCTGCCAGGCGTTTCGGATGTCCTTGTACAGGTCATTGGGGGGGGGGGGGTGTGCAGTCTATGAAGATGGCCCGACTCCACCCACCGATACTTCCCCAGAGCCAGGGTGGGTGACGGCTGTTGGTTTTCACCCAACCCAGGTGGCAGGGGTAACTGGTAGTAGTATTCGGTCGCTGGTAGACCGGTGTGTGGGGAATGGTTGGGTAATCGGGGAAGTGGGCCTCGGTTACTTTAGGGGGTCAAACTGGAGTCACCAGAGGTGGGTGTTGGGTGAATTCTGCCGGTTGGCGACTCCCCTCACCCCTTTGGTACTCCACCTTAGGGGAGCACCTTCTGACCCGATGGGCCAGGAGCCGCTCCTCGACTGCCAGCACCTGCTGGATCAAGTACGCACTCCCTTGTGGGTCCCGTTATACCTCCATTCGTTCACTGGGGGAGTTCCCAGGTGGACGAATGGTTGGCCACGGGGCGTGTTGTATTTTTTGGGGTCAGTGGGCTGATCCAGCACTTCACCTGGGGGCAACTCCAGGGAGTAAGGCAGATCCCCACTGACCGACTGTTAATTAAGACGGACAGCCCCCACCTCGGTGTTGGTCAGGGTGAGATGACCCCTGGTCAAATCGGGGTAATCTATCGACGGGTGGCGGAGGTCCGTCAGGTGGAAGTTAGTGTGTTGGCCGAGCAGGTTGTGAGGAATTTCAGCATCCTGTTCGGTCAACAGTTACGTCATTCTCTGCTCCCTTGAGTGATCGGGGTATCCTGTGACGAGAATCAGATAAGCTTTGGGGAGTCCAGGGAGGACCCATACAATATTAGGGCGCCGGAGCCAGATAGTCCGGGAGAGCAGAGCGACAAGGGCAGGAAGTCCGGAGGAGCCTGCGATGATGCTGATCTGACTGTCGGGAACACAGCCGAGGATCTGTTCATTTGTGTTTTTAAACAATTTGATGTTTAAAAGACTTTTTATATACACATCTTGTAATTAACTGGTATTGTACATTTTTAGGTGGTAACCTTCCTTGTCTATTATGTAAAATTGTTCCTAAATGATATTGTAAATGGCCTGCGCCTTGTCGGAATTGGGTCATTCCTCTACAAAATGGGGGGAATGTAGTGTATTTGCGGGGGGTGTTATATTTGTACATTTGAGATCAGGCTCGGGAGCCTGTGTGATTATTCTCTCTCTTCCGGAATTTGCACCACGAGGCGCAGGCCACCATTTTCATCAGCAGAGATTTGTGTAAGGCATTTGTTGTCGTTTATTTGAGTAATATACATAATATTTTACGTAAAGTGATTTGTGTCGTCAATTTTGTCTTGGGAATCACTTTAGGACTAAAATCCAGTGGATTTTTAAGCATGTTTTAGCAGTTCATAGTTACGACAAGGAAGCAAGTGAACTTCATATCTCCATCGTGGTAAACTGTGAAGATTGGATAGACCAGATCTGTTATGTTTAGGCAGATAAGCCCACCATGGACATAAACCAAATTTTAGAGATACCTAAATGTAAGTGCAAGATATTAAGACTGGATAAAGATGCATATATCATTTTAATTTTTTGGAATAAGTATATTTAAAACTTTTAATAAATTGCATCCATTTTATTTTAGGGAGACTTCTGAGCTACTTGATTTATATATTTGGGATGTAGAGTGTTGAAGCAACTATCTCCAGCAAAATTTTGTGGTTTTTCTTGATTGAATATCTACAGTGAAAATAAACTACACTAAAACCACAAGAACTGTTCATATAGTGCAGACATGGATAAGTCATTCAAAAAGGCCTTCACTTGAACCACAGTGCATTCAAAGCTGTCTTAAATCACCCAGAAGAAATTAAAGTATCCATCTACCTAAACGATTTTCCGAAGTAGTTTCCCATAATTGTCATGATATTTAAACTTTGATAAAAATCTTTGATAGTTTATTTTAAAATATATATCAGTCGTATTATATGCGTGACTTTTGGGGCCATGTTAAGCTTCTGATATTGTGCATAAATACAGAGAAATATTATTAACAGTAATTCTGCTGGAATTGGCGAGTTTTATGTGATCATAAGTCTTGATCACATCACATTTTGTTAATTCTGTTATGTAAAAGATGGTGGCAAAAAACACTTTTTAACTGTGATAAATCTCATAAATGTACATGTAGTAAACAAAGCAAACCTTGTACAGGGCAAAAACATGGAACCCTGAAAACACCAAAGTTTTGGGGTGCATATGAGAGTTAATATTCTGTATTATTAGGAGATTTATTTACAGAATTTTGTACTTTTATGAAATGAAGAACCAGTACTCTAAATATGTAAAGGAATCATTGTACATGTGTATATTTTAAAATTGTTTTCTTTTTTACATATGGAGTTAAGTCATTATGTAATTAAAGTGAGAAACCAAAGTAATAGTATTGTTATTACTGTTTTGTTTATGTACAAATATGGAATAGTGAATGTCTTATAGGATTAGGGGATTTGAAAAAGATATTATAATGTTTTACTCTAGAAATGTAAAGGAAAACAAAAAAATATATAATCGCTATTTTACCTCTTCCCCTGGAAATTATTGTGCATCAAAATATTAATATTAAAATTATCAAATCGCTCGCTCGCCCCAATTTTTTGGGGTCAGTTGTCCGTAGAACAAGAAATTTTATTGGTGAGGCCTAGTTATGCCATTCAGATTATGCACGCAGTATCGAATTCGCGAGTCTTGAAAGGGAGTTGGTAATTTTGGGTCTGAGTAGGGGCCCACAGCCACATTAAAAATTGATTTATTAAACCTTATGTACATTTTGGACACAAAGGGGGGGGGGGCCGACCTATTACAACTTCTAAGACATTTCCGAGAGAGCGGGAAAACAAACTCATTATTACGGGGTCATTCATATACGCCTCCTCCCCCCCCCCCCCCCCCCCCCCCCCCCAAACATGCACACATATGTGCTGCAAACAAACAAAATTTAACTTCAATGAATGCAAAGGTTTTGCAATCTGCATTATATCTACCACAACTTTGTCTATCAAAAAAAAGAACTATATTTTTGAATAAAATTTTAACAACCAGTGGATACATATAAGAGATGTTTATTCGAGCTTGCCGTAAAGGTTTGCCCTAAACGTAATCTCAATAATTTTTTGTACATTTTTTTCTCTTTCCATGGTTCATTTAGATATCAAATATTTGCCCCCCCCTCCACTCATAACCTTTTAAGTACTACGGAAATGTTCGTTCAAGTTCACATTCTCACCCTTTTTGTGAATATAATAAATGTAGCAAGTTAGTGCTCAACAAATAGTACTGAAGATGTTGGGAGTTGGAACTTATCCCCCCTCCCGAATCAAACAATTGTTTTCTTTTTGTGTTTAATCTCCCCTCCCGAATCAAACAATTGTCTTCTTTTTGTGTTTTTTGCTTGTCAAATACTTTTCAAGTTCGTTTACCACCCCCACCCCCTTTTCAAATTCGATTCTATGTGACTGCTGTGTTAGCGACTTTTGCAAATAAGAGACTGAGCAGGACAAAATCAACTTGTATTTAATAGTGGGGGATTGAATGTGTACAATATATATCGTGTATGATAAAATTTGTGTATTTGAAGTGATTTAATCCGTTCCGCTTTCCGTTCTGTTTTCCGTTCCGCCTTTTAGCAACACCCCTTGCCATTCCATTTGGCAAACCTTCGTGCCGTCGATTCCGTCACCTTATCAGATGAAGTGGGAATCGGCCTAGGTGTGCCGAATGGAGTTTAATCTAAAAATATGATAATGGGTGATGCAACGTGATGTGATGTAGAAATTTACATGTTTTAAAACATGTTTAGTACAAGAACAAATTTTAAATTAATTCATACTCTAAGAGTGATTTTATTTCGTTATTAATGTTTAGTGATACCATCCAAAACAATCTTTTATCAACACTGACAGACATTTAATTTATAGAGCTACATTTAGCTATATATAATAATTCTAGGTCTAAATTTTAATCGCAAGACTTTAATCTCAGAAGTAACTTTTCGGGTGTTGAATTAAATTCTCAATGTATGCTCGGTTTAAAGAATTGTACTTTGTTTTATTTGAAGATTTTTAGGGTTGTCATCGTCCGATTAAAAATCCTCTCTCTATTTTAATTCCCTGCGCTGAAAAATCG